GCCAAAGTTGAATGGTGGGAGGATTAGTCTACCATGGAAGACCTGACAGCATCCCTACAAAACACTGAAGGGAAATTTTCCTCCACTTGGACTGCTTGGACTTCTTTCAGGTTTTCTGACAGATATGATGCGTTGGCGTCAGAGGACTCTGACTGATGGAATCCTCTCGCTTCACCTGTTGTTTACTCCCTCTGGCACCTCCCAAGAATCAGCCAACTGCTGCATCAGTGCTAAGTGCACTGTTCATTTTTGGGGTTCCCATTCTGGTGCTGCTGTATTTCCAGGCTGAGTCCCCGGTTTCTTCTGTTCTTCTATAGCTTTCTTCCTTTGCTTGTTGTCCCCTCCCGCCTCTGTTCTTTGCTGTACTTTAGTTTCCTTTCCTCTTTCTCTCTTTTTCCCTAATAGCTTTTTTGTATTTATCTAGCACATTTGACAATTAATCTTGTAGTTGTTTCTGGTGTTTTATTTACCCGCTCATGTTTCGAGTGATGCAGTTTGATTATCTGCACTCTGTTCACATATGAAGTATGTGATTATATTTAGTTGCTGTCTAGTATAATCCTTCCTCCTATGGCTCATATCTAAACCATTGCCTCTGGCATGGCTGCTTGCTTGACATTTTTTCTATTGTATATTTTATTGTACAATCTGCTGTAATGTCTTCAGTTAATAAAGAAAAAACTAAAAATTTAGTTTGGAAGATTCTATCCTTGATTTTCTTTACCTTTAATTCCTATTTGTCTCCCTGAATGTGGATGTGAAAATCTGGAGCTTAATAATGTTGGGACAGTGACTAAAAGAAAGGTTATGAAAATTAATGTGCACAATCTTATTAACTCCCTGAGAGGATAGTAAAGGAGGGTCTTTAAATTCCCTGATATTGGGATAACTGTAGCACAGCATTTCTCAACATGCCATAATAATCCCAAGCACTTGTTTGAAATAAGGATGCTATTGGGCATTCAACACTGGGAACCTCAACAATTTAAACTGGAAGTATTGCTGAAGATCGATAACATTTATTTTTTGTCATGTCAATTTTCTTGTGGAAATAAACCCTATCAACAAATCATTGTACTATTTCATTCATCTGCACATTCAGTCTTGAAATAATATGCTTTTGTATGCTTACTGTTAAAGTTATATTTCCCACTTATTGACTTGCTTCTGTCATTCCTGACACTAACACAATGGGAGACCCAGGCGGCAAATGTGGCACCAGCTATTGGAATCAGGGAAAATTAAGGCAAACAGTTTAAGTGGAAAAAGTCCCATAGTCAAAACTCTGTTATCCACTTTCCTACCTATATATTCCCTACACATATCACAATAGGGCACTGCTGATTGGCTCAGATTGTTTGTCACATACTCTTTACCCAGTATTTGTTTCTGTGTGAGCGTATGATATGCTGGCTCTGAAGAGGGAATTTCCCCCGAAACACGTCAGCTAGTTGGTCTTCCCTGTACATCTAATTGTGGATTTCCTATGCTAACATGTGAGTAGCTTTTTATGTAATTTTATTTACTCCATTTAAATAAACGTCATCATAAGAGGAGAAGGTGCTGTTTATTTTACTTGTTTTGCATGTCTTGTGAGGATACTTCCCAGTGGTCTTAAGGACTGCAGCCTATTCTCCAATGATTGGCGATGAAGAATTTCTGAGCTGGGGACAGCTGAGCACTGTGATGTGTAGTTTTTTGGAAGTTTGTATATTACAATAGATTTATATACCCTCACATTGTGTTATATAGAGTACCAAAACCTCCATGTGCATCTCCATGTCAAATATCCAGTAGTCAGTATACAATACGACTCGCCTATTAATGCTCCTTCATTTGGTGATACAGAACAGTTAATTATCTGCCTGTATTGGATGATGAATACAGGTTTCTATTTACTGTGACCCAATTTGAATCATGATGCTGGATATGATGCTAATTTTTATCTTATACCCCCTCTTTTTATATAAGTGTGTTACCATTGTTTAAAAATGTTTGTTTCAAATAAATAATTTTTAATTGGGATTGTATGTGTTACTTAGTTTGGTGGCACCAATTCACTGTTTCAAAACCCCTTGCTTTTGGTTTACCAATTTATATGCTATAAAAGATTTATCGGGGTGTGGTGCACCAATTTCTGCTCTCCTGTAGTCCCCTACAATTATGTGATGCTCCTTATACACTGCACACTTAGAAGATAGATAAGATTGCATGGAATCAGAAAGTTGACATGCCAACATTTTGTCTATTCGCAGAAAGGCATAGAACAGTACAGTGCAAGTGTATGGCAAAACTTTTGTAGTAATATCGAGAAAGGTTAAAATGCAAAGAATGATACAACGTGGCCCTACATGGCTAACCTTTCTTCTGTACAAATATTGAAATCACTAGATAATGAAACGCTACTGCAAGAAAATATCACATACAAAACCATATACCAGAGTATGTCTGTTAAATTCAGACAAGTACAGGGGACAAGGTGTAATGGGCCAGGGACACTTATGATAACATAGAAGTCATTAAAGTAAGGTTTTATTACCATGTCAGCAGAGGCAGGGGTCTTCAGATGGGACAGAGACCAGCGTCTATCAGGGAGGAGAGAACGTTTTAGGATGGAGAGTGGTGCAGGGCGGAGACAGCTTTCACTGGAGGCCAAGCTCTCCTCCCACACCACCCTGGTTCAGTCTCCTGTGACATCAAGTCAGGATGGATAGCAGTATACAAACACTCAGCGATCAGTGAGTGTTTGTAAATCAATGTGGGCACAGTATGCTTACTGTGCCTCCAGTTATGAATGAACAAGATGTGTTTTATATCACTTCCTGATTATTTATGATTGTGGACATAGTAACTCATACTATATCCACAGTTTATGAATGGACAGGAGCACTCAGTATGGATGCTTCCTTTTTATTCATAACAGGGACTGCAGAATAAAAGATTGAGGACTCTGTGTATTCTGCAGCAGAACAATGACCCCAAACATACAGCCAATGTCATTAGGAATTATCTTCAGTGTAGAGAAGAACAAGGAGTCCTGGAAGTGATGGTTTGGCCCCAAAACAGCTGAAATATCTACATCATCAAGTCTGTCTGGGATTACATGAAGAGACAGAAGTATTTGAGGCAGCCGACATCCTCAGAAGATCTGTGGTTAGTTCTCCAAGATGTTTGGAACAACCTACCTACCGAGTTCATTTAAAAACTGTGTGCAAGTGTACCTAGAAGAATTGATGCTGTTTTGAAGGCAAATGGTGGTCACACAAATTAATGATTTGATTTAGATTTCTCTTCTGTTCATTTAGTTTCCATTTTGTTAATTAATAAAAATAAACATAACACTTTTATTTCAGAAAGCATTCTTGCTTTAGAGCATTTTTTCACACCTGCCTAAAACCTTTGCACTGTACTGTATATATACACATATACACACTAACGGGCACAAGTTTTAGAACATTTACGCAGTTTAATGTCTCGATGTACTCTGAAATAAAGCATAGAAGAAATAAATGATTGGACATCCAAGAAAAATCATGCAATCATTTAAACAAAATGTAACCTAGATTTTTGATTAATAAAAGCAGCCACCTTTTTTAGATATAACAGCTGAACACACTTGTGATATTTTTTCTGCAACGGAAAGCAAATATTATTTGTCAAGTTTCTTCCCAACACTGTTGCAGAAGTTCCAACAAATGTGTTGCACTTGTAGGTTGCTTTGCTTTCACCCTTCTGTCCAGTTCATCCAAAACCAGCTTAATGGGGTTTAAGCCTGGAGGCTGTGCTGGCCATTCCATGATTTGAAACCTACTATCTTGTTCTTTTCTTTTAAGGTAGTTCTGACACAGCCTGGAGGTAAGTTTTGGGTCATTATCTAGCTGTGGGATAAACCCCTGACTAACTAGGCGTATACCAAAGGTTATTGCATGGTGCTGCAAAATGCTGTGGTATTAGTTTTGGTTCAGGGTGCCACTCACTCTGTACAAGTCATCAACTCTGGAGCTTTGCTTGAAGCTGTTGTCCTGTGAGCTGCCTGTTACGCAAGCAGTTGACTGTCAGAAACCTGTCTTCTGATTCTGTTGTAGCTTTGGGTCCACCAGACCTCTTCCTGTCAGAGTTTCCTCTAGTTTCCAAGTGCCCTTTGATGGTGTAGGAAACTGTATTCACCAACACCTTGGCTTTATTTGCAATTTTTCTAAAGGACCTACACTTTTAAGTGTTATAATGGTCTGTCTATCTTCCTTTGTTAATTGCCTTTTTCTCACCATTTTGAGAGCAATAAACTACTTCCTGCTGTATAATACTGTCCAGATATTGCTTAAAAGGGTGTAGTAGCACAGTCTGTTCCATTACTGCTTTCATACAGAGAGCTTGTGAGTAATCAACAAAAGTTGGGACACCTGTAGGAATTGTTAGCATAAACTTTCAAGGCTTAATTTACTTACATTGCTGCAGGACAACTTCCCTTCTTAACTCCCCTTCAATTAGCACTGAACAATGTACATTGTTTTTCTCTAATGTTGTATAACTGATTCAACAAGAAATAACAAATTGCATATATAATATATGGAAAATTTGCTTCCTTTTGACTTGTTAAGTTTGCCATTTAAGGCATTTTGTTATATTAATTTGAGAAGTGTAAAACAATACCTTTTGACCCTGACAGAAATCCATTGCTGTCCTGCGCACCCTGCACTGTTCTCTCAAACAGTGTCATCTTTTTTATCAGGTCACCTTTGTGAACTACAGAACATCTCAGCTATTGTGGCTCAGTCAGTTAATAAAGTAAACTGGGAAGTGGGTATTTAGTAGGTATACCTCTACAACAGCCAAAAGTGGAATATTTGTTAGAATTTGAAATATGCTCCAAAAATGCAAAACTCTCCATATTTCGTCAAAGGATCTACTATACAGCAGGACATGCAAAAAGTCCCCTGTTCATTGAACACTGAAATAATATAGTATTTTCATTATCTGTTATAATAATGTACTGAACTTACCGCAGTGGAAAGTTTTCCTCCATTCTTTACAGCATGTACCACAGCTTCCTGGATGAGTGAGAAGAGATTAAGCAGAACACGTTCTAGATCATAAATTCCATGCATTTCTTTAGCGAGTCTCTCAATTGAGGAGATGTACTCATTCCAGTAAGGGTCAATTTCTCCCACGCTAGCCAGGCAGCCTCGCATAACCATTCCACAATATCCAGCACAAGGCCGTGCCAACAAATAGCCTTGGCAATGAGAACAATACCACATTTTCAGGAGAGTCCTGCCACAGTCCTTGTTGAATTTTAAATAGTCCGTAGTATTGATAACTTCAATGCCGAGATTTAGGGCCTGCAGGAAAACCCGGGATGCTTGCAATGATTTTGACACTTGGGTCATGATCGTTTTGGGATAGTGGCCAAAAGCACTGATGTCCCTTCTGGCAAGCCGAAGACATTCTACATTTTCCACAGAATCCTTGAACCCCGGGTTTAAATAACTGCTATAGACTATTGGGAACAAGCCATCGAAAAACTCATTGACCATGTCATTAACATTAATGTCTGATCCCAAGACATACAGTGAAATGTCTGTGAATAATTCACCAACAAGCTTAAAAGTTTTCAGTGAAATGTTCTGGTAATGCATCTTGAATATTGTGTTTGTGTAATTTCTTGCATGTCGTATTACCATTTCAAATGCTTCTGCAATAGGAAAAAAAAAAAAGAGAGAAATGGTGAAAGAAATGGTATTTTAGTCCATTTTCATATATTTGTGCTTACTTTAATAACACCATTTTTGTATTAAAATTCACAAGATAAGGATGATTCTTATATAACCTTTCATTTCTCAACAAATCCATCAAAGGTGCCAATGCCAAGCGCATTGATGGCTTACATGAACAATTTTCCTTTTGTGTCTGGAATGTATTTTCATGGAGATATTGTATTTCTAACATACACAGGCAACAAGAAAGGCTTTTCAGCAAGAACAATGGTCCAGTCACGTGAATGCACGCTTTCGAAGAGGAAGCATTATATTATAACCCTGACAAGTGAGAACTGTTCTATGCAGACTGTTCACCTATACTTTGTCTGTCGGACAGCAAGATTTGCAGAGAATCCTTCGAATTTTTTACATGTCAGTCCTGTATCTATATAAATGGTTACTATTTTTTTATTGAGGCACAAAGATTATTTTTGAGAAATTCTTTAAAGTGATATTAAAATCAAAATGTTTTTGAGCTTTTTCAAATGCTGATTAAATCTAATACAATGGATGCTGGTCATTGATGTTTAAATGTCTGAGCTTCCTGCAGAATTAGATGGTCCCCTGAGCACTGGCCCTGATATTCAGTTTTAGTGTCTCCTTTCCCTTGCAGGGTCCTATTGAGCTACCTTTGTGTGTGCTAGTAAGCTGTGCATGTCTCCACAAACACACATGCACAGCAAGACAATCCACTCTCCTCCAACCCACTCACCTCTCCTCCTTCCTCCCTTCTCCAAGCTAGTAAATGGACGGCTGCTGGAGACATTGCTCTCCCTTGTGATCGGTTAAGGGCAGTTGAGCTGAGAGAGTTGAAGTCAGGTTTTGTAGTGTTTGGGGAAAAAATGTAAAAAGCTATGTATATTTGTTTGATCTGGATTAATTATTGGAAAAAGATTAAAGTGATCAATATTACTTTAAGGAAAAAAAATCGAAATACAAAATATACATTATACACATTAAGTAAATACTATTTCTGGAGGTTGTAAGCATTAAATAATATTTTTTTCAAGAATGAAAACTACCATTGCAGACTTTTTTTTAAAGAAGCACATATTGGCGAGTTTATCCCATTCTCACCTTTACTTGTGTGACAGCTAGCACCAGTAAGGGGGGAATCCAGCCCCTCCCCTGTCACGGCAGAGGGCTGTGACAGGATCAAGAGGTGAGCGAACGCCGGTATGTGTTCGCTCACTTCTCGATCTACTGAGCCGACCTGAGACAGTCTCATTGTCACAGGTCGGCTAGAACTATGAGGTGAGTGAAAAGCACTCACCTCATAGTTCTCCCTTAAGTTTAGTTTTGGGGAATTTAATAGCAAAGATATTATGTGCATACATAAAAAATAAGGAGCATCTCTTGTAGAAATAATGATGGCTTACAATTGCATACCTCTCAACTTTTGAACTTGACTAAGATTGTCAATTGTTAAGGTGGTGGAGTTCTCGGAGTGTGGACAGTGAAAAGTGGGCATGGCCGTATGGTCGTGGTTTAAAGACATACTTGCGACAGCTTTGATAAGATTTCCACCTGGCACTGGAAGATTTATCATAACAAGGACACAAACACAGCCAAGACGGTATTGTTCAATAATAAAATTTCTGTATTTGTTAAGGATGCACCCATACCAGTATTGGTGCTGATGCCCCGATACCAAAAACCGATATTGGCTCTTTAATTTTTAAGATTGAAGCGGCTGTCTTAGGTCCCCTGCTTGCTGGGGACATCACATCAGCCTTCTTGGGAACCACGTCTACCCCTCCTGAGACTCTCCACACATCTCCCACTCCTGAGACCCTCCGCCTGTATTACTGGGATTTGTAGTCCTCTATAGCCGGTGCCATTCCGTATTGCGGTATAATGTACTGCTGAGATTTGTAATTCTCTACAACAGGTGATATTCAGCATTGCTGTATAATGTATTGCTGAGAACTGTACTGCTCTATAGTTGGTGGTATTCTGTATTGCTGAGATTTGTAGTCTACAGCTTGGACTCGGTGGCAGAACTACCAGGGTCGCAGCAGTCGCAGCTGTGATCGGGCCCAGGTGCTCCACCATTGTCCTACAATCATTAGTCTGTATTGTTTAGGAAAAACTGTCACATGACACTAAAAAAAAAGATATTGGTAACGGATATCGGTGAGTACTTGAGAAAAAGTATCGATACTCGTACTCAGTCTGGAAAAATGCTTTTGGTGCATTCCTAGTATTTGTTTTTGCTAGCTACAACTTATAGTCTGTACAGTCTATTTAAAGCGCAGCAACCCAACGCCTCTGGCAGAAAATAAAGTGATGAACACTAATGACACTGCAAACACATTTGGCACAAAATATATAGAAAACATAATTTGGCACGGACCATTGTCTGAGTACTGTGACACCTGTTGTGGCTGCTGATGGGCTGAAGGTTTTTTTAGGAGGCAAACATCCTGTGTCATAAAACTAGATAGCAGAAAAATGTCACCAGCACACCATAAGTTGAAAAAGCAAAATATTTTATTGCCAATAGCTGTATCTCATTGGCAAGCGCTTTTGGGGCCTCGCAGGGTCCCCTTCATCAGGCTTAGATGAAGAGGACCCTGGTGACATGGGGACATTTTGCTATTCTTTATGTGTGGCGGTGCATCCGCAGTCATTTCGAGCACCCATCCTCATCAAGGGAGAATCTCGGTAAGGAGTGCGGTATGGTTCCTGTTTCTGTTTATAAAACTAGATAGGACTCTGTGGCCCAGCTTAATGAAATGTATAACATAGCCTATACAGTGCAGGGTTCAGGAGCAGAAAGTACAACATAGCGTAGACAACATAGTGAATGCAGAGCAGAGGTCAGGAATATAATGTACAACATGGTGTTTACAGTTCCGGGGGTCAGTAATATAAAGTACAACAGAGTATACAGTGCAGGAGTCAGGAGTATAATGTACAACATATAGAATGCAGTGGAGGGGTCAGGAATAGAATGAACGACATAGTAAATGGAGTACAAGGGACAGAAATACTATGTACAACATAGTGAATGCAGTGCAGAGATCAATGATTTATTCAAATACAAATCCCATAATGACTTCTACATATGCAAACCACATGCTAATTTGCATATGAATTGGTTGGTGCAGGAAAAAGCCTCTGCACATGGGACCTCAGAACTAAGGTGAAAATTCAGGACAGTCTCTCACAATCTAGGACTATTGGGAGGAATGCAGTCAGCTTATCACTAGCAACTGGGAGTCTTAACATTAATGCTACAACAAGGGCACCTGGAATATGGGTGGGGGGAATATGTAAAAATGGTGTAAAGCACATTTTTAAGAATGTTTTCCCATAAAGTAGCCAACATTAAGGGCAGGCAGGGATGAGGGAAATCGAGTGGCCATGCTGTTGCTACATCATTGTGTGCTAAATAACAAGGTTCTTTGAGAGCAGACGATCTACCTTACTTTTCATAAGGAGACTACATCCAAGAGAGACAAGTCTGAAGAAACTCACTCGCTCACATTCCATGACACTTATTGAACCTGACAGAAAATCCCCTTAACATCCACTGGGCCCCATGTTGCACCCGCCCCCCATAACATACAATGGACATTACAGTTTAAACCCCATAACACCCACTGGACCTCACAGTACACAACATCCAATAATAACATCAACTGAACCTGACAGCTCAGTCTGTGACAACTACACTTTCGACCTCGCCCTGCAGAGAGATTTTGCAGCTCACAGGATAACAATCTAAGCACCAGCAGACTGAGAAGGGTTGTCAATGAGGCAGGTTAACTGAACAGTTACCCCTTTACACACATGCATAGTAGCCACCACCACCATGCATTTTAAAGGAAATGCATCGTTCACAGCTTCTGCTGTTGCAATTCTTGAGTTTTACTAAATGGGCAGCGCTAATCTACAAAGTTTAAATTAAATGTGTGAACCAATATTATTCAAAAAGCTGCTGTGATATAGACCCCTGGAGGTCTAGTGAATGAAATATAAAGAAACATACAGCGCTAATTATACTAGTGAAAATATTTAAATCAAACAGTGAATGTGTATATACGCCAATTCTAACATATAGGAAAGTGCAGAAAAATCAATCAAGAAATAATTTCTTCTGTGAACAAAGGGTTAACCCTGTGTAATCAAGTGAACAATAATGTTTGAATGTTATTTATAGTGTTTCCTATTAAACTATACGTGATGTGACTTTGTGATCAAATATGTAAATAAAATGTGACTTTGTGATCAAGTATATAAATAAAAATGTATGAATTCTGTGAATAATCGTGAAAAAAACAATAAAGGAAGTCTTTTTTAAACAAATAAATAAGTCTCTGTGTTAATTCAATCCGTTTTCAAGTAAAGAGATGTATATAACTACTTATTTCCAGTGTTGGGTGATGTACACTTTATTCTGGGGAGTGTATTGGAATCAATACGTATCCCCTAAGAGTAGGTACTCACCCCTGGTCTCCGACTGTAACAGACAGTCTCACAAGTGGTATTCCACCCAAGGAGATTGGTCCGGTGTCAGTTGCCGGTACCTTTGCTACTGTCAGTTCTCCAGAGATAAAGCACCCAATCTCACAATCAGGAATCCTGTGACTACTCTTCTCATTACCATGTAGGAGACTGGAGAAAAGTTCCAAAAGTTCACTTTTCTCCAGACATAAGCAACAGTGAAATAAAAGGGTATAAAAGTGGAAAAATACATAAGTAGAGTCTGCCTGGTCTTTGGTCCAGTTTAGTGTTCAGATTGTAGGTCTAAATCTGTAATATATAGCAAAGCCACTGGCCCTCACAAATATGACTCTCAGGATCCCTAGTAACTTCCATGGTAAAAAAGAGCTTAAAGCTGCTAATGCAACAGTTTTCTCTTGAGCCTTGAGAATGTGTTGCAGAGTGAACTCCATCCAAAGGGTCTTAGGGGTGAGTTGAAAGACTT